GAAGCTACACAGTCTGAAACTGCACAAGAAACAAGGCAAATGGTGGTTCCTACACTACCTGATGCAACACTTGAAGATGAAGATGATAATTGGTTGGCAAACATTGATATTGATGCAGTGGTGTCTCAAGTGCTTCAAAACCAAACAATGCAACCACAAGTGAATGCTGAGGATACCAATTACTAGTCAGCCACCAACTCTTTGAGAAGAAAAAGATAGCCAACAAGTGACTCCACCAACAAAGAAGAAGCTGCAAGCCAATGCAACTCAAGGGAGGAAATATAACACTCGTGGCAAGATGAAATCAAAATTCAAAAACACAAGTGATGATCCTATAAGCATTGATTAACAGTACTGTTTAAGTTATGTTGTTTAAGTTATGTATTTTGGTAGCCAAAACTGCTGGATCAGTTAGACAAGACAGTTGTATGTTACTCTTTTTTTGTATAGCAGTAACTTTGGCAATTTAGTCTTATTTTGGCACAATTGAATGTTACTTTGGCAGAAATGAAATGGTTGCTCAATTGGCTTTTATTGTCCTATTGTGCTTATGTTATTGTTAAGGTTTCTTGACTAAACACACTCCAATATCATTGTGCTTACCTATACAGACAACAAAGACAGTACAATAACATGGTGCTTAACTAAACATACTTCAAACACATTGCATTAAATGGTCCAAATCAGGTTACATCATTAATTGCCTGGAAGCATTTTGACAACTGCCATTGATTGAGAACTACGTTTGCTAAACACATGAACTACGAATCCAATTGCAAAGATGATTACAATTGCGAATTTGCAACATTTATATTTCATAGACAAGACTACATTTGTCTTAGTAGCAACTTCTAGCATAGCCTTTAACTTCTCCATCTCTTCTTTGTCTCTATTTATCCTCTTCAAAAGTCCGGGTATTATACTGATTGCCCGTGAACACATTGGAGGATCTGCCCAATCAAAGAAACCACAACCGTTTCCTCCCTAAAATCAAAAAAAAACAAAAAAAAAAAAAAACAAAACAAAATTGAATTTATAAAATTCAAATCTGGAAAAATGAAACTGAATTCAAAGATTACCTGACCGGATTCAGAGCATTGCCAAAACCTCCTACCCGGATTGGGATCTGTCTAAGACGTTCGAAACACCACTTGATTCCCGCACTCACACCCATGACTGTGTATGGAATCTCCAAAATTATATCTCCTCCTTGAAGTAGTTGAAGAAGATGACATTGTTGCTCATGAAATTACTTGAAGAAGATGAAGAAGATGAAGAAGATTAGGGTTCGGTTCTCAGGCTTATGATATCGTTGAACCTAAAGAAGAGCTCCGTTAAATAAATAGAAAAGGCATAAAACGTTCGCATAATGTGAAGTGACTCATTTGCCCTCCATTTTGACGTCTCAGACGGGACCAACTAACGGAAGGACCCTTGTAGGCCACTTTTGGCAACTCGGAGGATGACGCCCGGTAAATACGAAAGTTAGGGACCATTGATGGCGATGTCACTAAACTCGATGGACCATAGATGGTATTTACTCAACATATTTAATAGCTCCTAAATTTTATTTAACCATGCAATGTTAAATTTAATAAATTTAATAAGCTCACATCCATAAAACTTCATAAAAATAAAAGTATACAACTTAGTTAAACACAATAAAATGTTAAAGTGTTTTAAATGCTTACATCCAAAACATATCATAAAATGTTAAGCGTTTTAAACATAACAATAATTTGACCATTTTTACTTATAGTGAAGACCAAAAATTTTATTAACCTTTAAAAATGTTTGACTTATGATAGTTAAATAAGAGATGATATGATAAACTAGTTTAATTAGATATAAAAATAAGTTGTAAGTTTAGATATAAAAATATTTTAAAAAATAATTATGATGATTTTTCAAAAATATAATAAATTAAAAGTAACGGTAAATAGTTAATTGCAATATTAAAGTGTTCAGTTGTACCCAATCATTAATTGACATTGAAAGTTGGCAATCTGTTTATGCTCTTGAGAAACATTAACCACTTAATTGGTTTATGTAATGGCACAACTGCACAAGGATGGTCATTACTAAACTTGGAAACCATGTTCTGAAAGCAAAGGTATTTTATGGAAGCAATACAGGTGAGAAAGTACAGATACCAAGAATGTCATTAACTCCATCAGACTTGAGATTGCCTTTTAAATTTCAAAGAAACAATTCCCTTTAATTGTCTCATAAGCAATGATGATTAATAAGAGTCAGGGTCAATCACTTTCTCATGTAGGTCTATTCTTAAAAAAATATGTTTTTAGTCATGGACAATTATATGTTGCAGTTTCAAAGGTCACTACAACAAGTGGGTTGAAAATATTGATTTGTGACAGTAAAAGCAATAAAAGAACTTCAACAACAAACATTGTATACGATGAAGTTTTTAAAAATTTGTAAAAATTTGACATTATTATAATATCATATTTTAATATTATAATTGTTATTAAATTTATTATCTTAAAAGCAAATTTACTAGAGTAGTAATGAAATTCATCATGTTTTGTTTTTCAAATATTTTTTAATTATGACTATTGCCTAATTTTTTACATTTCAAATATTTTTATTTTACAATAAAAAAAAATTAACTAAATCAATAATGGGAACAAAAATAGTTTTAATTGACAGCTGCATTCCAATTTTCTTTTCACATCTTAATGTTTTTTAAAATTATTTCCCATTTACCCCATATTTATTTGAGAAAAAATATAATTACATAAATGGAAAAGGGCCAAATAAACCCTGAACATTACTCAAGAAGTCAATTAGACCTTTAAACTTTCAAATGTTGCAATTAAGCCCTTAAACATATCATTTTAGAGCATTGAGATTCAAAAAACCAATTGGTGATCTATAATTACAAATCATTAGGGTTTCGGCGAACCTCCGAAAAATTTCCGACCATATTCTGACAAATAACACTGGCGAAGCGGTTGCCGGTGTCGTTTGGTTGCCTTCTCTGGTGAATGAGAAGGCAGACCAACTAGAGAACACAACCAGTTTGGTATGCTTTGTCCTTCGCCGAAGAAGGCAACCAGTTTGGTTGCCTTTTCCTTCGCCGGAAAAGGCAACACTTTGGTTGCCTTCTCCGGTGACTGGAGAAGGTAACCAAATGGTCGTCTTCTCTAGTCGTCAGAGAAGGCGAACCTTTTCCTTCTCCTTAGCGGGAGAATGTGACTTGGGTCGCCATTTCCTTCGCCGTAGAAGGCGACCACATCCAGCGAAGGAGAAGGGTCGTCTTCTCCTTCGCCGGAGAAGGTGACCCATCTGGTTTCCTTCTCCAGTCGCGGGAGAAGGCGACCAGATGGGTCGCCTTCAATGGCGAAGGAGAAGGCGACCCATTTGGTTGCCTTCTCCAGTCGTCGGAGAAGGCAACCAAAGTGTTGCCTTCTCTGGCAAATGATAAGGCAACCTAACTGGTTGCCGCAACCAAAAAACACTGGCGACCGTTTTGCCGGTGTTATTTGCCAGAATATAGTCAGAAATTCGTCGGAGGTTCACCAGACTCCTAGTGACCTGTAATTATAGGTCACCAACCAGTTTTTGGGCCTCAATGCTCTAAAATGATATGTTTAAGGGCAAATTATGTTGTGCAACTGTGCGTGAGGTTTATACTCAATGTGCGTGAGTGTTGTGCTTAATGTGCCTGAGATTTGTACTTAATGTGCGTAGTGTTAATATGCGTGAGTTTTGTACTTAATGTGCGTAATGTTAATATGCGTGAGTTTTGTACTTAATGTGCCTGAGTATTGTGATTAATATGCGTGAGATTTATGCTTAATGTGCGTGAGTAGTTCAGAATTACGAGCCCAGAAGGAAGCATAACAGAAAACTCACGCACATTAACGCCCAAGCTTCTTGTTACTTCTTCCTTCAATTTGGCCATGGATTCTGGATTATCAGCTACCTTCAGTGCAGTTGAATGTGTATATAGATGACGCACGCACAGCGAAATTTGCACACCAGCTAAGTGTGGATTTCTGTTGTATTATTCCCATAATTCTTAACCACCATAGCCCGCCTCCGCATTATCATCATCAGGGAGGGGGCAATGGCTACTGGGGATGGGGAAGAAGCTGACATCCATATTTTCTGCTGCATTTTACATATTCACGCACATTAAGTACAAATCTCAGGCACATTAAGCACAACACTCACGCACATTGAGTACAAATCTCACGCACATTAATCAACCGCACAACCGCACGGGAAGCATTCAACCGCACGCGGGAACCTTTCAATATATATATATATATATATATATATATATATATATATACACACACACACACTTTCAAATATTAAAGTTATTTATAACTTATCTTTAATTTTATTATTTAAATATATAATAAAAGAATTTTATCCGTGCATCACACGAGTAATTTACTAGTGATATTAAATAAGAGATGATAAACTAGTTTAGATATAAAAATAAGTTGTAAGTTTAGATATAAAAATATTTTAAAAAATAGTTATGATGATTCTTGAAAAATATAATAAATTGAAAAGCAACAGTAATAAATAGTTAATTGCATTATTAAAGTTGCCAAACTTTATATATTAATTAATTAATTAATGTATAATTGGAAAGGAATTGTACGTTTAGTTATGAGGTTGATATGGAAGTGATGTGTAGGGCAGGGCGGGTAAGAAGACGACAAATAAAGCATGGACGGAAGGACAGATGATTATAATGAAAGTTTGAAAAAGATGAGAGGAGAAATAATGCATTCATGTACTCTCTCAATCACTTTAATTTCAGATTATTAACAAACTTTAAAAGTCTGTACAATAAAAACATATATGGCAGTAAGCTAATTAGCTCTTCTCAGATCAGATCAGAGTCTTGCTTGCATATTTGATTGATCTAGTTATCAGTGTGCAATACCAAAACTTAAAACTACATACATATTCTTACCATCCAGCAAATTAAATTAAAGATTGGAATTGAGAGATAGATGGCTTGTGTTGCTTTAGCTTCTCTCATTAAAACCATTGAGATTGAGTTTGTCGTTGGGCAAACAGAAAGGGTAAGCCTGTATCTCCATGATCATGATCGAGCAGGAATCAAGTCTTTCCTTGAAAAACTTTATGCTTTGCAAGCCCTTCTCCAGAAGGAATCCAGTGGTGATGGTGATGGTTATGCAGTGAAAGTGAGAGATTTAGAAATGGAAATCAGAGACTTTGCACTCAAAGCTGAAGATGATATTGAACTACACCTTAGCAACTTCATCCTTCTCGGAGGAGAAAAAGCTGCAGCTTCCCATCAACTCCTCCATCAAACTTTGCAAGAAGCTACAAAATATGCAACAGAGCTGTTGGAGAAGCCATCAAAAATGGGTGGTGCTAGTGTTGCTTTAACTATTCTCATAAAAAAATATGAGCATTTCTTTTTGCAACACTTCCCAACGGTGAATCATCCTGGAACAGCAATGACAATGGCATCTTTCTTAGGAAAGCTTTCTACCCTGCAAGCAGGGTGCTTATTGCTGGAGAGGAATTCCGATAGTTCTGATGCTGCAATCAAAATATTGGAAACGAAAATCACAAACTTCTCACTCAAAACTGAAGATGACCTCCAAATACAACAAAAAAACTTCCTTCTAGCCAAACACACCGTACATCAACAAAAAGCTTCTCAGAAACTCCATCACACCTTGCAAGAAGCAGCAGAAAGCGTAGAAGAGTTGTTGAACATAATCAAAAGTAGAAGCAGCAATGAAGTTGATGATGATGATGAGGCAAATCAAACTCAACCATCAAATACTTGGTTAAAACATGCTAGCGCTGCGAATGTTGAATCTGATGGATCCACCTCGCATGCCTTTCTAAAGCCTGAGGCCAGAATGGTTGGTCGTCACCGTGATTGTACACTCATAAAGAAGCAACTCTTTTCTGGCGGTTCTGGACTAAATATAATCTCAATTGTTGGAATGATGGGTATTGGAAAGACGACTGTAGCAAGAAATGTGTATGAAGATCCATCAGTTGCATCCTATTTTGATGTAAGAGGTTGGGTTACTATACCCCAACACTTCAATAAGAGCAGAATGCTAAGCCAACTTCTTCAGTCAATTACACCAGTAGAAGAGCCAATTGTAATTCAAAAAGGAAGCACTCCTCTTGAACTAGAAATGCAGGTACGCAAATGCTTTGGTGGTAAGAAGTATCTAATTGTTATAGACAACATTACAAGCAAGAAAACTTGGAACCAAGCTTTGTCTGACATCATAAGGTGTGTTAGTAACGGATTAAATGGAAATTACATGTTACTAAGCACTAGACACTTAGACCTAAAAGCCCATACCCATAAGATGACTTTGCTAGATTCAAAAGAAAGCTGGGAACTATTTTGTAATATCCTTTCTATTGATGAAGAGCACTTGGCCCCTAAATTTGAAAAAATTAGGAACCATGTTGTGGAGAAATGTGATGGATTACCCCAGTTAATTGTTGAAGTTGCCAAGCGTTTATCTAAATGCAACAACATACAACAAGGGTGGAAAAAGATTGAAAAGGAATTAGAGTCTTTGGGACTTCTAGATCGCAATGCACTCAATGTTAGTTACAATATGTTGCCACATCATTTGAAAGTTTGCTTTCTATACTTTGGAGTCTTCCCAAAACGTAAAAAAATTCTGGTTAAAATGCTTATAAGGTTGTGGATTGCCGAGGGATTTGTGAAGCCATTGAAACATAAGGAGTTAGAAGATGAAGCTTATGAGTACTTACAAGAGCTTACTGATAGAAGTCTTCTCTTAATTGAAGATCGAAGTTGTAACGGCGAAATAAAAACTTGTAGAATGCACAGTGCCTTACATACCTTCTGCGTAGGAGAATCTCAAAAAGGAGGTATTTTATGTGCAGTAAATACTCAGCAACATTCAGGATTATCATTAAAAGCATTTACAAATTCCTGTCGTTGGCTAAGTTCTTACTCACACAGTTTTGACTATTATTATGTGCTCTTTGGTACAAACATCCCTCGCTCCATTTTCTTCTTTCTTGAAAATCTTGAAATGTTTGTTCCTCCCAAGCTGTTAAGAGTTTTGGTGTTTGATACTTCTATATCACTTCAAAGAGTGCCAATGCAATTAGGAGGTTTAGTTTTATTGAGATACCTATCCATAACACAATGGTTTGAGGATCTGGATGATGTGGTGTCAAATAATCCAAATTTAGAGACACTTGTTGTTTCCGGTAATGGAGCACCAACAGTCCATTTGCCATCAAGTATTTGGAAGCCACCAAACTTAAGGCATCTTGAACTTGGCAATTCATATATGGTAGATCCTCCAAGTGCAGATAAAAAGAATTTACATACATTATCTTGGGTGGTGAGACCAATTAATTGCAGACAAAAGGTGTACAGCAAGTTCCCTAACATAAAAAATCTGAAAATTTTCCTGAAGGACGACATAAGCCTAGTCACATTAGAGGATGTTGCAGCAATCCTATTATTTTGGATCATTTTAACTATTTCAAAGGGCTTGAGAAGCTTAGCATTTCAGATTCTATTGGTTTGAATGCAACCCTCCCAAAAGAGTGCATGTATCCTTCAAGATTGAAGAAGTTGAAGTTGAGTAGGACTAATATTTCTGAGGAGGATTTAAATGTAATTGCCAGGTTACCCCGGCTTGAGGTGCTCAAGTTGGAAAATGCCTTCCATGGAACGGTATGGAAAGTAGCTTACGGAGGATTTCGTCAATTAATATTCTTGCTCCTTGAAGCTAAAGATCTCAAGCAGTGGGTAGTTAGCTGGAATCAGTTTTGGATGCTCAGACACTTAGTCTTAAGATCCTGTAATTGTTTGGAACAAATCCCGGAGTGTTTTGAAAGAATACCGCCGTTGGTGTCAATTGAGTTGGAGGGGTGTAAGTCTTCCCTTGTCGCTTCTGCCAAGAAGTTACAACAGAAGGGAAGATCCAAGGATGTTGAGGTTAGAAGCTAAATGATGTTACTTTTTATTTCTTTTCACTACAAGAAAATTGTCCATTAGTGAAAGGTAAAACCGTCACTAAAACATCAAAAACCATCATAAAAGACTTTTAATGACGGGAAATTTACCGTCGCCACCCGTCATTATTTCTTCCGAAGTTAAAAACAAATAGTGACGGGATATGATACCATCATTAATACACATATAGTGATAGTATATTTACCGTCACTAAAACATTCCTTTTGTGACAAAGAATCCCGTCACTAATACATCTATTCACTACCATAATTTCCTCTCATTATATACTTGTAATGATGGAAAATCCCGTCACTAAAAATTATAAATTTGTGTCAAATATTATTTTTCTAATTATATATATATTGTTACTTATTAAATATTAAATTTTGTAATACATTTTCTCCTCACTAATCGATATTATGTTACGTTGTAACTATAGATATTGTGTTGATAAAAAATTAAATTTTGTATCATAATGCAATCAAAGTAAACTCAATCAATATATTAAAAGACTTCATTTATCACTACCAAAATGAAATGTTTCATACAACTTTGTAAATACTAAAGACTCACAATTCAACCAACACAACAAGATGGAATTGGAGAAGCAATTCTCTAAATGCACCAAATTCTTAGCTATACATTAGAGATGCTAAAAATAATCACATCTTCACACAGCTTTAGAGGAAGGATAGCAAATACACCATCCATCAAAGTATGGCGAGTACATCAAGTCGTTTTTTGAGAATAACTCCTTCCACTTCGACATATATATGGACGAGAAGTGAGAGACAATGATAGAGACTATTTCACTGCACACAAGATCAAAGTAGCTAGTTTTAGCATTTGACAATCAAAAAGGTCCTAGTGTACTGCTGAAATTGGTTGAATATATTAAATCTCACATAAGAAAACATGATTTGTTAAATTATGACCTCAAAGCAAAAATCACTAAAGGTCTCTGTTCTGCATAGCATGCACAAAAGTGTTCTATGAGTAAAATATAGATGCAATCAAAGTTGAAAGAAGGAAAGAGAATCAATGGAGATGGTTACCATCTCTTTGTAGGTGCCTGCAAAATGCTTTTTCTTCAACACTTGAATGAAATCATTGGCATAAAGATGAGGCAAATTGGGCATCCCTGAAACAAGAACAGCTCGATCAGCTCCTCTGGTAAATACTTTTAATTTCTATGATAATGGGCAACATCAAAGATTGTTCATATATATATATATATATATATATATATATATATATATATATATATATATATATATATATATATATATATGTATGTATATATATATATATGTATGTATATATATATATATATATATACACACACACACACACAACTGACCAAGAACTCCAGGACCTCCATGATCTTTATAATAGATGAAAATCCTATCATCAGCTTTGCTGTCAACCACTTTTCCACTCCCACCTTAATCCAGTGCCAACTATTAAAGACCATACCATATCCAGAGCATAGTACACTTGCCACTTTGGCTCCTTGTGCACAACTTGTGGTGACAAGAGATAAATGACTTAAAGTTTTACACTTAAGGGATTGTATATTTGTCAGGTTTATATCCCGTTGGTTGGCCGACCTAATTTTTGAGTGCAATCAAGCACAGCATAGAGCTAAAGTTTACCCAAAGTCTCCACTCAAAGCTCAAAGTCCACTAAGAGTTATGGACATTTATGAATGACTGACAATTTATATATGCAGTGATACACATCAAGGCCATCTGTAATCACTTTTCAAAAAGAATTAGGCCCAGTGGTGGTATGAGTACTGGGAGAGATCAATTGCTCATTCTACAGGAAGCTCTGCATACTTGATAGAAAGCAAGCAGCCAAATACCACCTAACTTATAGGGCCCAATAAAAGCTTGAAAGGAAAGGTCATTGATATCCAAGGCACTGAATTTGTTGATTTCTTACATAAAGAAACATCCTGTAGAAGTCTAAGTTACCAAAAGCCAGTTAGCCATCTAACGCAAGCGGAAACAACAAAGGTCTCCAAGACAAAGAAACACTCAAAACCACTAGGATATAATTCTTGCTAGAATCAGGAGAAGAATATAGAAATAAACACAATTTCCAGCATATCATCATAAAAGTTCACCTGAATATGCAATTGGCTTTGCCAGCTTCAATTTAAATAATTTTGAACAATAGAAACTGCACCTGAACAATCTCTATAGTCCATTCTACCATGCCAATATGCTCAATGCTCTACATTGCGGTTACTTATACAATTCATCCAACTACTTTTCAACATATACCTACACTATGCAAGGAGTATACAATTTCATCTTTCATTATAACATTAACAAAATGAAAAATATTTAAGACTATAGATAGGATGATGAAAGAGTTACCTGGCATGCCTTTCATAGAGTAAAGAGTCTTTCTTCAGAACAAAGCTGAAGAAAAAAAAAAAGTAGAGAGCTGAACATACAGCGAATCTGATAAGCAGGTAGGACTATGAATTGTGACATGGATATAATTGTTCAATCAAGTAAATATAATATATTATCCATTAAATAATTGCAATTCAGTTCAATGAATTGTGACATTCAATAGAGCAACTACTCTGTATTTTAAAGTTTCAGATATAACAGAAGATTTTTATTAAGAAGATGGAAATTAAAACAAAGTTCTACTATTTGTCTGCTTTGCAAAGAGAAATAAGGCAGTAGGGAATCCCAATTTGAAATGCATTCTTGTAGAACTCCCAAGGCATATAGGCAATATGAAATTCATAGCAGCAAGGACAACTACTGATAATCAAAAGATATTTGTAGAACTTCCAATTTGAAAAGCATTCTTGTAAGTGAAATAATAAGACTTTGAAAGAGGAACCAATTGAATTCTACGAGGGATTATAATGTCCTACCAACTGTAAGTAAATTTAGTTACCCTAGCTGCAAAGCTCGCTCAGAAAGAAAAGAAAACCAGCGAAGAAAAGTCAAGAATTCTGGAATCCCCACCTTCACTGCAACATTTTCGAATTACACAAAAACGTAAGCATATAACAGAATGAAGAAAAGAAAAAATCTTTATCATGTATTGATTTCCAACAAATCATACCTCAATCGAAGAATCCCAATACGCTCAATGAGAACCCAAAAATGGGGAAAATAACCCGCAAAACCAGAAATAAACACGTGACTCAGTCGAACCAGCTTCGAATTCCAACAAATTAGGGCTCAATTAAAGTTGTGGCTCACTCAGGGAAGGAGACTTGTAGTCGTAAGGGTTAAGTGCGTCGTCGTCGTTCTTCAGGCAGGCGGGACGTTGGCTGTGGCGTCTTCGTAGGGGAGGCAATGGCAACGCAACGTCGACAGTGGCGTCGGATCGGCGTCTGAAGCAATCAGCGGCCGCTGTGGCAGTGGAGGTGATGGTTGCGTGGTGGTGGAGTAAGATCTGAGAGAGTGAGAGGGTTTGGAGGGTGTGGCTATAACAAGAGGGCGCCCACAAACAAAATTTTGGTGGGAATTGAATTTTTGTGAAATAATTTGTAGATGTCAATAGTGAGAGTAACAACATTTATTGTATCAATAGTGAGAGTAAATTTTTTAAATAAAGGAATCTACAGAGGTATAACCTCATGGACTCCCTCTTCAATTTTGGGTCTATGAAGCCTAGTTTCTTGAGTAGAAATGATAGATTTTTGTTGTTTTTGAGCTTGGAAGTGATCTATTACTTTTCTATGATGTGTTGTTAATGTTTTGGATGAGTTGGAATTGCTTGGTTTTGAATTGCAGATGAAATGGTCCATCTGGTGCACACACAGTGTGCACCAGATGAGTGTAACGGCCCTAGCCAACGGCCCATCAAGGGGACCGTTGGCTAGAGCCGTGGCCAGCGGGCCTATGGAACGGCCCTAGGAGAGGGTCGTTGCCTAGGCCCGGCGTTGTTACGGCTTGAGGGGGCGGCTCATGGTGAGCCCCGCCCCTTGGTCCCTAAGTGTGGTCTGTGTAGTGGCCAGGCCCTTGTGGCTCAGCTACGTGTCGTTTCGTGCCAGGTGTCACGGGCCCTTGTGGCTCGGTACCTCGGGGCCGATTCGATGCACGTTTTGGCTTTGGTTTTGTTGAATTTGGATTAGAAATGAGCATGTTATGATGGATTTATTGATGAATTTGCTTCACAGTATGTATGTTTGAAGTTCACTATAAATGAGATTTGCCTTGTTTTACCTTCCTGATGTTGTTGAGAAATGAATAGAAAAGCATGTTCACTTTGACAATAAGATTTATTAGAAAAGCATGACTAGAATATGTTATTTGATCAATGGGATTTGGAGTCTATTTTGATGGTAGAAATATAAAGAGTTTGATATGTTACAATACAAGCATGTTGGTGTGTCCTTGAAAGTTCACGGTGATATTTAATTTGAAGCATGTTGTATAGTATTT